ATGCGCGAAACATCCATATACATAGTTAGTTGCAGTTGGCATGGAAGTTACTTTTACTGTTCATTAATTGCTCATCTTTATATGTCTGTATATTAAATTTTACTATTTTATATAAACCGTAATGTAGAGGCCTAAGACGATGTTCCATTACCACACTTCGCATCTTAACAAAACGTCCTCAGGACAATATGACCTAAAGGTAGGTGAGGAAAATTACTTAACAAATTCAAAAGAAACAGTAATTAATAAAGGCATCAATGATAAGAATACTGAAAACCTCCGGGGATGAGTGGACACAGAAAAGAGGACAAACAGAACACCGTGCACCGTGCACTCAGCGAAACACTTAGCGCGAACAAGCGAGCGCCAGTTATTTTTATATTATTTTTACACTTGAGAGCCCTGTTATAAAAAGTACCATTGTGGTGGGAAGTGCTCATGTTGGGCACTAATCTAAGGGGCAAACTTTGGTGCCAGCGAATAACCTTTTGAAGTAAAATCTGAAAAGTCGCCGATGTCGTATTTGATTTAATAGTGTCGCGCACTTCGTGTCTAATTAATCGAATCTATCTTCTTCTTTTTTGCATATACGTGTTGTTGTTGTTTTTTTTTTTTTTTTTTTTTTTTGCTAGCGGGTTTTTGCTAGCGGCTCGTTTTTATTACAAGTATCATTAAAATGGTCTTGAAATAGAAGGAAATATATATTCGCATGGGAATAAAAATTAGAATGATGCTGCGGAACTCTATGTTTAATATGAAATCTATTGTCGGAGTTCAAGTGTTACATTCTTTTGTAGAGAATTTGTTTCGAGGGTTTTTCTAGTCTACAAAAACGCCTTCTGGAATTACACAGTCACAGCTAGTGACTTCAAAGTAGATCCGACAGTATACAGAACCAACCCTTTCCGTTTGCAGTATAGGCGAGAACTGCAAGCGTGTTATTAATTTAAGGGAGTTATTTGAACTACAGAACCGACTTAGTGACTTCTGAATTCTCAGTTAAGTGCATTTATTTATTAATAATATTGCTATTAACTTGGTAAAAGCGACTGTTGAGATCTCCAAAGTCTCCTTCCTTCTCCAAATCGTTCTGCAGCTAAATACAATCGAAGAACCTACAGTTCGAGAAATATTTATTTAAAGCGTGAAAGTCAAAAAGCCTTTCAAATGTGCTTTTCCGTGCTTGCTCCAAATTGAGAATGAAAGAAAAAGGGTAGTTGCTTAAAATTTGCAGCTCGATGTTTCCGTCGAATAGCAGGGAAGACATTAAACAATGGCAGCTCACATTGGAAACAAATATATGCCTTTAGAGAGAGCTGAATGCCCCATGTTCCGTGAGGTCATCAGAAAATGGAACAGCCATCTCTCTCCCCATTTGACAAGCTCGCAGGTGTGTGTATGTGTTCATTCCGTTTTGCAACCAACAACATGTCTTCTCAACGTGTTGCGCATTTTGTTCTAGAACTCTTGGACTCTTGCGACACCTTGCGGTTTCACACACGCATAGGTGTCACATTCAGGGGAAATATAATCTCAAAGCTGACGGCTCAGCTCATTAACGAAGGGAGGCACAAGGAAGCTTACGTTATGTGGACGACACGGGAGTGCAAGTTGAACGCGAACACTGATTATTTCATGCGCCAAATATTGTATTGCGGAAAAAGCCTTCTCGTAGTTAGACTGGCGTTATCGGAGATAAAATATACCACTAAAAAACAAAACAAAAATCGGCATGTGCTCGGAGAGAGGGCGCGCATAAGGCGCGTCACTAATTACGCAGTGCGCCCGAAGGCCCCAAAAACGAGGAGGTGGGAAATAGGATATCTGCAGCAAACAGGCGTACAAAGGTTGACGGCAACAAAAAACTACTTCTTCCAGAGATATTCAAAAAGGCGATCAGGGTCTCGTAGCAAACGTACACAAAATACGGGATGATTTGTGAACTCTTACGATGAAGGTGAAGCCCGTTATGAGTGGTTAGGCACATGTTTGCACCGTTTGGTTATTATCTCATCAAATGAAGCAATATTGTTGCTTTAGGAACACCGAATTCGTAAGTGAAAAAGAGAAAAGCCAAGTTTGCATTGAGCCGTATATTCAACACGTAAAAAAAAAACTAGAACACCAAGCAATAATAAGCTTTCCTTTTTTTTTTTGTCTTTTTTTTTTTTTTGAGGGGGGGGGGGGGGGTTGGTGGGTAGTTTAGAAGACGACAAGACGACCTAACTTCGTTCAGAGGAAAAGAAATGGGCGAGACAACTATGCAACGCACGCAGGTGAGTCAGTGGGGCTTGGTTGCGTCACAGGTTGTCTGGTGTCCTGTCACTAAATATAGCGGACGACGGAAGAAAAGTAAAACCGCGCACGCCCGAAAGCGGACGTCATATGAGCAACATTATTTGGTATATGAAAGAGGCGGCTCATATGACAGCGTTAAACAGGAACTCTGGAAAATCGCAGATGCACCCGCTTTTTGCGAGAATTCACTAGTCTCAGTAAAGACAAGATTCTTTAACAAAGTATTACTGCGGATTTCTCTCGGCATCGGTGAACCCCGTTCAATAAGCGCCGTGTAATAAACAGCGGATGAAGACGCAGCCGAAAATAAAACAAACTCCAGCAACAAGAGCTCACTGATTCTTTTAAGTCAGAATTTGTAGCGTTGACCGAATGGTCGTTCATATTAACTGGTAAAAAAACAGAACAGGGACACGGACAGAGCAGTGCACGGAAGACAAACACGGCGCTGACTTACAACGGAGCTTCAATCGATGTGACAATGCGTGTAAATATTAAATTTGCCAGAATCAAATGCGAAAAAGGGAGATAACACTTCAGAAGGACGACGCGTGTTCCTAGAGTCGTCTGCGCGCACTGCTGTTCTTCGATCTACGAAGAAACATGCCCTTCTTTACCGACAAGGCAAGTGACGAGCACTAACACAGTCTGACCCGACTTGTCCAATAGCACGCGCTTCTAGAAGTCGTCTCCTACTCTGTCCGTGTCCCTGCGATGTTTTTTTACCAGCCACAATTCGTGTTTCTGAAGATTCATCCCTCTTTAATCATGCTATTATGTGAATCGTCAGCAATCTCTACCTGGTTCGATCGTTGAGGTATTCTCATCTTTTTGAGCTACATTTCTTACTAATAATGACAGTGCAGACCTCAAAATTTAATTTTTTTTTCCGACATGAATTGGTGGATTAGCGAGAAAGTGCTCAAATACTAATTGGAACTAAACAGAGGCAAACAAAATTCACGCTCAATCGTAAATATTCTAACACTGGTATGCGTATTTAAACTGCATGGACTGTGGAGTTGTTCCAACTAGAAAGCATTACCTAACTTTTTAACAACATCAAGTTGCCGTGCGCCCCATTGCAGAGATTTGTAAACTAAGAAAAAAAAAAGAAGAAACCAAAGGGATTTCTTTGACAATACGTTCGTCTGACATATTTGTAAGATAGTATAGTTTAAAATAAAATAAAAAGGCGCGTGGTATATTTTTTTTAAATATTACACCATCATTAACCCTTGTTACTAATGGTAGCAAAGTATTGGACCAAATTTACACTTAAAAGCCTATTAAACAATATATATTTACTGGCTATATAAAACTTATGCAAGTCAAAGTGCCAAGAGAACGTTATTTAAGACGTGGGCCAGGTGTGGCTCTTGGCATCAGAGCCAAATCTGATATATTCGCGGCGTTGGGGAGCCCCCAAATATCAAAATGACTCGGAAAAAAAAAATACTACTGCGCAGAGCGGTAGAAGGTGTAGAAAAGGAACGAATATAATAGTTATTTTTAACAATGCAATGAATAATAGCATTATTAGGAAGTTTGTTTCAATAACTCGTATGTCAAAAGGAGTACAGAAGTGATTGATAATACCCGGCAGTTCTGTCTGGAAGCTGGAGACACAGAGTGGAAGATATTTATAAAGTGTTGCTGAATGTAGCAAAACATGGAAGCATCATAAACCTTTACAAGCGCCAGCTTGGCCAACCTGAAGTGTTCTAAATTTGAACTAAACCCATTCTAAGGAAGATTTAGGTCACCAGTTTTGGTCATACCAAAAGGGTTCTTTATAAGAAACTATGCTAAAGAGGTTAACTTGCCAATATTACAAAGGAATTCATCCACGGTAGGTTATACAAAAAATATTTAAAAATTACAACCAATAAGTATTTCAGTTCATTTTCTTATTTCAAGCATTAAGAATTCAAAGACTCAGGGGTTAATACGGTAGCTGTACAATGGAATGCGGCCTTATGGCAGTTTTCTGATAAACTGTTTTGTGTATACTATAGGTGTCGGGATTGGCATCTTTCATAATCTCAACTATAGTAACAACTAAGGGTTAAGTACAATGCCGGTGTAGAAACTTCATGTAAAGTCGAGAACCTTCAGCAAAAGTCGTTAATTTTACTAGCACTCCTTCCTAGTTGTGTTAGAGCTTAATAACTTACGATAGAATCACAGTACTTATCAAATATGGACGGTAGAAGGTGTTAGAAAAGCCAACATGTGCACAAAAGAATCCAAAGCAAAACCACTGGAAATGATTACAACATGCTTGTGGGGAAGCTCCTGTCAAACAGTCGGAAACTTCCTGCTCACGCCGAGGTCAAGTGGGATTAGACTGCACCGAAGTAGGGTTACGTGTCGCACATATCGGAGGTATCCAACGAGACATTCATCATCATGGGCCGTGCTAGATCCAGAGGGCGGCAAGACCATCGCTTGTACGACCCTCGGGGTCCCTCCCAGACCAGAGAGCGGTTCAATGAGAAGCGGCACCTGTAGCGTACTCTGCGCAGCTGCTAGGGAACAGTCTAAACACAGCGGGGAGGGGCACCTGCCAGTGGCGTTGGCGGCCTGGACAGTGTCCATCGGCCAACGACGAGCGGCAGAGGGGCTCAAACGGCTGCACGGGCCCCCGCTCCGGAGGTCCGAGCCGGGGGCCAGTGTACCGGTCAGCATGGGCAGCTCACCTTGTGGTCCTTTCAGGCAAGCCGGAGCAATCCCATCAACCACACTCGCCAACAAAGACGCGCGCACTGGGAACCTCCCGTCGTGGCCACGTCTCGTGCAGCAGCCGACCCGGTCGACGGTTCTGGTCTTGGATTTAGGTTTGGCCAAAGGACGGCTTTTCTGCCTTAGGCCTAGTGAAGGAGCGCACAGCGACTGCCGCGGTGCCTGCCTCCTTGCCGCTTCGGGCCAGATTTGGAACCGGAGCAGCAAAAGCCTGGGGGTCTGGCGAATCCCGAGAGGGTCAAAGCGGAGGAAGGAAGAAGCAAAACAGAGCCGACCCTCGACGCTCCCGATGCAGGCTATTTTCCGACGCCCTGACATCAGCCTTACGTCGCAGCCCGGAGCGGGCTATTTTTGGTCGTGCCTCCCAGGCTGGGTCTTGCGTTTCATTCTGGGCGTATTTTAAGCAGCCAACAGAGTTCGGATCTTTCCCCGAGCTCACGGCCGGGCAGCTTGGCTGCTGCGCCGCCATTTGCGATGTCCCGTGCTACGCGGGCGGCGCCTCGGAAATAGCCGCCGCCCGTGGATCCTTCCAATCTCGAGCCCCGACACCGAAAGGAGGGAACCATGTCGCGCGTCGCTTCAATTTCATCTCGCCACGCTCCCCGCGCTAAGTCCTTGAGGGGTGCGTCCATGGGGGAGCGGCGCACGACGCACCGCTGGACGCTTCGCTGCAGCGCAATTTCCTCCTGGTCGCTCTCCCAGGTGCCCTGTGATACCTGTGTATCCTACAGAAGCTTTATTGACACGGTCAACTGAACAGCTAAAGGACGTCAAACTTGACCTCGACAAAGACTGTTTTCAAAATTGTCAATAACCTGTTTTACCTTTTTTTATTTATTAAGAAGGCAAGGGGGGGGTGGGGGGTGGGGGGGCAATATCCGTTTTTGTATTTGAACCCCCTCTAGAGCTTCGACCAACCACAAAAAGGATGGGGGCACCAACCCGCTAGGGCAGTTCCAATTTCTTACCTGTATTCTCCAACTACCATGTCTGATTACACTGCGGCCGAAGGGTCCACCTACAAATATGTACGACGCCATTTCAAAGAGAAGTGAATCGCTCTTCGAGTAATATCATCCGTGAAGATTTTTTTTTTTCTTTTTTTTCGTTTGAGGGTGATGCAAAACTTACCCGCACTCTGGCTGTATGATTTATTTTAATCAACTTAATCAACATAAAAATTTTTTTTTATAGTAATCGCCCAGCTTTTTAATACATCTATATGTCAACATGCTTTCGTATTTTCTTATTAAAGAATGTTTTGCCTGAGCTATACTAGCCACAAACACACGCTGTCTTCACGTCTTCATCGGACGCGAATCTTCGTCAAATCGATTGCAAAGCACATCATTTGCGAACAAGCCAAGGCAGATTCTAGGTTGATTTTCAAATTATTTACCACATCCGCTATTGTCACTCGTATATCCGACGGAATCATTTTAGTGCGGGCACGTTCACTATTGTCAACAATCGTGGATGTGGACGGGCGCGCGGCTCCTTCTTCGTAGCTGACACTGGTGCGACATTCCTTTAAATGTATCTATTCATTCAAACACACTTCTTCTATAAGGTAGCGAATTGGGCAAGTTGGTAAAAGTTATACGTGATGAAAACAGCTCAAACAACGAAGACGAAGTGGAGAAACACAACAGTACGGAAGTTCGCCCCGTCGAGCTTGTTTCTTCACTTCGCCTTCATCTTTTGAGCTGTTTTCATCATGTATAACACCTCTTTGTGACAATACACCTTCTTCATATTGTGCGCAGTCTTCGACAAATATCAGCACCAGACACATCCTCAGACCGCGAAAGACGAATGGTTGCACGCAGCTCTTCTTTCGTGCAAATCACAAGTGAGGCAGACACTGTTTCTCGCACCAGCCGCAAGTGAACTGACGTAACACCTTCAAACCTGCACAGCAGTGGCCGGAGAGGTGGCGACATCGTACAAAAAACGCTGATAGGACGATGCGGGGAATATAGGTTTTAGCATAACCGGAGTGGCGGATACATTTGTAATAACCTCGTATTCGACTATACGCTGTCTTGTTCTCGCCACAGATCTGGGAAAACACGAAGCTTCATTGCGCTTCTCAAGCGCACACCGCATATACCCTTGTTCTATCTTTGGTCGGTTTATGTCCGGTCTGTAACTATTGAATGCGTTCGAACGCAGAAGCCAAATGCCAGACGCCGGCGTTCCGCGTTCGTAACGCGTTCGACGAGTGCAGTGGAGACAAAGGCAGCTAGCGTTACGTCTACCCTCTAATCGTTCCAACCAGAGCTTGGCGTTCAGATGTCCCCTTTCGTCTCCTTCTGTCCCTCGGTTCTTCGGCGCATACATAGTGTCTTCAGTTTTGTGATGCATAATAAAGAAGCAAAAGGCGGACGGGCGCATGTCAATGGTTGCTCACGTAACCGCGTGGTGTTTTGTAGAACTCATCGCCTTCATGTTTATGAACGTAAAGGCAACATTCATAAACGCTTCCACATAAATGTTTATCACGTCCAAAGAAACAAAATATGGGAGTTCATTTCCCTTTGCATTCATCTATTATAAAATTAAAATCATGAAACTATTCTTATTTATTTATATGCGGAAGATTTTCCCAAGAAGACTAACCGATTCTATAGACCTTTCCAGCGCTTATCACTTAGATGCAAAATGCTGAGTCCCTGAGCTGTGGACTCATGCGTGGCGTCTCATATTTCGTGGAAGAGAGCAACTGCGCATGCTCAGATCGCGTTTCCACAGCCCAGGATACAAAAATGTCACCGCCCAGAAGGCGATTATTGAAAGGTCTATAGCTGGAGAAATAATCATGTAAGCATAAGAACAAAACAAACTAAAACTGGAAAACAAAATACCAATGTGTACATGTCACGGACAAGTAAAAAAACACAAAGGCTACATTACCATTACGGTAATATACTTGTTAACGAAGTGCAGAACTGACCTTTAACTCTACAACTGACACAAACTATAGGAGTCGACAACTTCCGAGAATTCCTGAAGACATCACGTTTAAGTCACGTTTACCACAGGTGCTCCTTCGTATAATATATAGGGTGGTCCAAGTCACCAAGCTCGATCTAAAAGGGACCGTAAAAATCGACGCCTGCACGTAGCAATCTAAACTTTTCGTCAAAGGTGTATTTCACAGGTCGGTTTTTTCTTCCAAAATTACAAAGCGTAGTTCTCTTTTTGTAAAAAATAAGGCCTATAGGTCAGGTGGTGTCTATTCCCTCTCATCTACATACTAAAAACTATCATACACTTAAGTGCTTACAAAGGTCGTTCCAGAGACTTACATTCATGGCTACACCGTTTCAGCACCCTTGCCTCGAATAAAACACCTTTCCTAATTTAAAAGTAGGATACTGTTTCCTGGAACAGCGTTCATTTCTTGAAGGGTTTAAAAAAGGGCGTTCAAAGGGGCGTGCCAAAGGTTGTTTCGGTGAAATATGGAAAGGGGAGAACGCTTTCCGTTCCAGAAATCTTTAGCTGGCTTTGTATTAGCGACTACGTCGACTTATTATTGCCTATACTAACGCCTTTTGCTAAGAGATGATACGCGATATAAATATTGATAACGAAAAAACATTTATTATAACCTTCATTTTAGCTGAGGCAGCCACAGGGTCCTCGTCCCGGTGTCTTGCGTGCTTTATTACATCTATTTTTGTTGTTTTTATGCGCGCAGCATGTGGTGTGTGTTTCTTATAAACTTGTTGCAGGTAAAAAAATCTTAAAAGGCTGCTAGTACCACCAGCCCCCTGTTTTAGGGTGTCCACCAGGCCTCCAGTGGTATTGTAGGTATTAATACGCCCTTAGGGTGTTATCACTGGGGCAAACTGATTCACACCCTTAAGGGTGTCTACGCTTCAGTGTGTATGCAACTAAAGACACAGTTAATAAAGAGATCAACACAAGCCTGCTTCGGGAGTGGCCGTGAGCAGGGAGTGGCATGAGATAGACAATGTTGAAGAGTAAATTAATTTTTTCACTTCAAAAATCGCCATGTAAACTTTTTTTTTTTTCATTTGTAAATTTCATGCACTTATTTGTTTCTCCGCGCTGCTATTACCTTTAAATACTGCGATCACCTTTAAAATAGCGCCCCCTTGCGCGTGCCAATGACACAGGACCGCTTAACAAGGGGCCCCGGTGACTCTGACACCCGCCCAGAGCAAACATCCGTGACGCAAACGAGAGAAAGAGAGCGAGAGAGAGAGAGAAAGAGGGGACAAAAAGAAAGAGGAAGAAGAGAAAGCGTCACTCTTCCAACGTCACTGCGTGTTTCTGGGGAGGTAAAAAAAGCTCACTTCCGTAGGAGGCAGTTTCTGTCTCTTACAGTCTCATCTCGGAATATTATTATTATTAAATTTCGTGCGCAATTTCCAGAGGTTCGAGTCAGAATTGTGTGTCCTTCAACGATGCCCAAACACTCATATTTGATGGAACCGACACGTCAAGTAGCTGACAAGCGGCGGCTCTGGGATTATGTCAGCATTATGTACGGACACTATGATCGGAAGAACATGGCATATTCCTCTTCTATGCGATGTGGGTGTACCCAAAGTCCAACCCGGCTTCTTTACCTGTGGAAACATTTTCTCGCTAATGCCTGTTGTAACTTTTCTAGTATAAGTAGCCTTTTACGCAGACGACTTGCATTGTTATTTCTGATAATAGCATTCGGTAAAAAAAAATATAAAGCAAACATCGCTTTTTAATTAAAATTTGATATAACTTGCACAAAATGTTTGATGAACATAAGCAGTACCCATCGTACGATATTCGTTAGAAAAAAAAAAACAAGGGAAACTTTAACAGCTACGTCTCTAGTGGCGTGTGGCGCATCTCACTGGTAATTCGCAGCATGAAGGAATTTGTCGCAATGACATCAAATGCGAAACTCCTTTATATAGGGATGCATATCATGCGTGATTTAAGCGTTATTTATACGTTACTTATCTGCCTACATGTTCATATTATTTTCGGTCGGGTACAAGTTGTGACTGCACGCGCCTATCTACGGCAAAAAAAAAAAGTCACGGTGAAGTTTGGCGTCGCAGTATTGTACATATACCACCGAAATTAGCCGCGCGTTCACAAAGCAGAAAAAAAAATGTCAACAATCTTGGAACAATGAAATTGCCCTAGTCCACGAACCATTAAACCCACAGTAAAGTGTGTGCAGGAAATGAAGGGAAAGATACTACAAACCAGAAAGGTATACGAAAATAAAACTTTGGTTGGAGCTAGTTGGTACATATCGATTAAAAGGTTAAAAAGCGCAAACTGAAAGAGGACGAAAAAAGACACGCGTACGACAAAGACAGTCGCCAACCTTGTCGTACCTGTGTCTTTTTTTTGTCCTGTTTAGGTTCGCGCCTTTTGACCTTTTAATCGTCTACGAGAAGCCCGTAGAAAAGACAAGATAGATATGAGCCGAAGTTTTCACAAAG